TCGTGACCCCCATTCTCGACCAAATCAGAAACAATGTTTCCAGCATCCATGGATCGCCAATATCCCCGATCTTGACCAGTACGAGGACGACGAGGTCAACCCTGACGTCGTCGAGGAGCTTTCAGACATCGGGGAAGATGTGGAGGACGAGCTGGACGCATCCCAGCTTTCGCTCAACGAGAACGCGGTACAAATCCTAGATGAAGAGGGGGACGACCTGGCTCAATCCAAAAAGATTAAACTCGATTACCCCCCTGCCAATATCCATTACCCGTCGCTTCCGGAAATCGAAAGCTTCGCGTCCCTTCAGCCAGTGGCACAATCTACTCCGAAACGCCTCTTTGGTGAGATCACGCCGTCGGTCCTCCACAGCTCCCACGCGTTGGGGGAAAATGTGGACGCGTTCGAGGGCGATGATTACAGCATCCATGACTTTGTGTCTTCAACTGGTGAGTCGATGATAAGCGACGGCAACAGCCTATTTTCTATCCTCTCCCTCCCGGAAAACCCCATTGCCGGATCTGCACCTAGCTTGATGGGAGCTGAGAAACTTATTGGGCAGCTGAACGTGAACTCACGCGACCCTGGCACATCGAGTCCCATTCCCCAGGGCGCCGAGGCACAGGAACCGCCAACTAAAGCGAACATAGGCGACCCGGTCAAGCAACCTTCGAGCACGAAACAGCGGACCAATGTTGTGGATGAGACCCCCAAGCCTTCGGCCATATTCAGTCGACGGATAGAGCTGCCCATGCCTGATACTGCCAGTGATAGTTCAAGTCCGGAGCCTTTCTCCAAGCAAAAGACCCACGAGCCTGAAGATCAAAGCGGAGAAGTGGAAATTTTCAGTATCGAGTTGGCCAATACCATCGATGCCAAAACAGGAAAGCAGCTTCCAGATATAAGCCAGAGACCAGAACCTCCGGAACCGCCCGCAGAACCTGATCCTGAACCAGATGAGGTGCCACTTCAAATTCCGCAACCTATGCCTCAACAGAAAAAGCCTCGACTTCTCCTTGGCAAGTTGAGTACCCTGCCTGGATCGGTATTCGACCTCACCCTTCGCTTGGAAAACCGAATGACTTCATGGGGTCGGGGCCCCCAAGCAACTATCTGTTATCCCGACCCAATGGACACAAGGGTTCCTGCATATGCCTTGGAGGTCACCTTTTGGGCGCCGGCCATCGAAGCCAAAATCGCCGATGGCAAAGACTGGCTGACTGTCCCGGGGGTAATGGCCATTCTGTCTACCAAAACACGCAAATGTATCTGGGTAAATGGCACTGAGCTGCGACGCGGGCCTGAGGGGGACAAGAACAATCGGGAGGGTTTCCACTTCGGCAAGCTTTACACCGGCGACGTCATTACTATTTGGCAACATCGAAACAAGTTCTTGAAGTTCGAATGCGAGTTTTATCATGGAGACAGCGCGCGTCCGCGACCCGAAGCCGAGAAGGGGTTCACAGTGCGCAAAGTGCTGATGCCGAAGGAGAAGGCTGCTAATCAACTTCCGGTACTCAAAGATTATGGAAAGAAGTGAGAGGGTTCTTGCTTGGCCGAGTCGGATAGAAACCAAGGTGAGCCAAATGGGCTTGTCAAATAGGAACATGGGTGTTTTATATAATCGTTTTGGAAAGCTGTGACTTATTTTTGGGTTGGGATTTGTGCTGAATTCAGGAAAACTGGGACGGGCTACTGCTTGATCGCCCATGAAACGGAGCTACGATTGGATGTTGAAGATGAAAAGCCAGACGAGATACACCCCCTGTGATCCATGATATCATTTACGCTGTTGTATACTTATGAATACGCTGAGAACGTCTTATATCTTATGGTAATTTTCTTATTCTAATGGTGAGAGGAATAGTGTTTTGGTGGTTGTCATGTAGTCTACAGTATGTACTGGGCTGTACATACTCAGTTCGGGCCGAGTGACCCTGAGACGAACTCCCAACCCATTGGGTTAGTCTTGGAGATTAGTGTGGTGGAGCCCCTACTTTTTTAGCCCGACTTAGCTTCAATTGCACTATCAATCGTCTTCAAGTTCTCCATCGTCATTAATATCGGGGTTGTACTCAGTATGAGCACACGAACCCAATCAACCCATACTTTTGAACCATGAGGCTCCTTCCTGATCATCTGAAACAGTGTTATGGATGGATCGGTCCAGCTACTGCCGCACCCGGAAGAATGCCAGGCAGAACAAACAGCCAGACAAAAAGTCCTTCGCTCGCTGTGGTCCAAGCGAGGGGGCGGGGCTCTTCCCCATTGAAGGTTGATTGATTTTAATTTCCTTTGGTAACAGTCTTCATCTCCTTTTCTCTAACCCCCACCAACAACCGATTGCAAATCCCCCAATCCCAATCTTGTTTGAGAATCGGCTGCTCATTGTGTTCGTGTCACAGAATTGTTTTGTACAGCCCCAAGTATCTGCACGTTTCATGAACAATGGCCATGTCCCACTGAAAGTATAGGCGCGCGCGCGCGCCCGGAAGGGTACAGTACAAATCGGCTCTACTACCTACATTCCCGGTGACTGTCGACCTTATGGCCGTAGCTCTGTCCGTCCCTAAACCACTTGCACCCGCGGTGTGGTTCTGCTGGGGCCACCCCTAGCGTGTGCCCTTGGAAATGAACCGTTGCGAGTGACAAGTGGCCATCCACTCCCTCGAGTTCGACGGAAACGGGCAGACCCGTTCACGGATGGGTTTCTGTGCCTGTTCCTGTCTCCCATTCCTTTTCCGTCCTCCAGTTAATTTTACTTTTAATTTTCTTTTCAAATGGCTTGGTTGTTGTTATCTAGTAGCCTCCATGTCGACCATATCTCTCCCTCACGGCGCTCTGGGTCCCATTTTTCTCTCTCTGTTCCTCGTTCTTCAACCCTTCTGTCCATGAGTCGGCATCCCTCTCCCTACGCGCTCGTCTCCTCCGACAGTTGCGCCGACTACCTGTTCAGTAACACCTCAGCTTGAGTGGCCGTTGTGTTCGCTTGAAATTGCCACTTTTCTCGTCTTGGTCGGCTCCGACACCCCGCCCATGTCGTTCTCCCGGTCACCATCTCCCCACCCGCCGGGGGTGGGAGGATGGTCCAGCCCCGGATTCACACACGGCAGTGGCACATCCACGCCTCACAGTGGCTTGCTCTCCCCGACTGCCCTAGGGCCGAGTGGGATCTCATGGGCCGTCGCCAAAGCCAAGAGCGACGAGGTGCGAGGCTATCCATCCTTCGCAACCAAGAACAACGGATTCTTCTCGCGGTCGAGGCGTCAGTTGTCTGCGACGCTGCCGCGCTTTCGCCTAGGATCAGGATCCCCGAATGGCTACGTTGATAAGGACGAATTCGGGCGGGGGTACCCGTTCACTAGTTCCGGTGACGGCTGGCGCTCCTGGGGATTTGGCAGGGCGGTGTTTCGACGTAGGCGCTCGCGGCTGTTACTGGTTCTGGTCGCTTTCGCGCTCGGATATGTCTTTCTGTGGACACGTACGTAGGGACAGATATCGTTTGCGCGCGCAACACACGATTCACTGACCCATTGTTACAGGGATCATCGAGGCCTACCGACGGTCATCATTGGGTGGTGGGCGCAAGTTCGTCATTATCCTAGAATCGAATATCGAAGGAGGAGTGATGGAGTGGAAGGGCGCGCGGGAATGGGCGATCGAGCGCAACAGCATCGGCAACAAGGATCACTACGCCAAGCATTGGGGGTACGAGCTTGAGACGGTCAACATGCTGGCCAAGAAGCGCTATTCACATGAATGGCGCGAAAACTGGGAGAAGGTTGACATCATTCGGGAAGCCATGCGCAAATACCCCGATGCGGAATGGTAAGTCATGCTGTACTAACCAAGGGAAAGAGGGAGTGCGTGATAGCTAATTCTGCTGTAGGTTCTGGTGGTTGGACCTGAACACCTGGATTATGGAGTACTCGTACTCCCTGCAGGACCATATATTCCACCGGCTTGGCGAACTTGCTTATCGCGATATCAACGTCTATAACCCACTTGGCATCAATCATCCTCTCAACGATCCCTACTTGGATCAGGTTTCTCTCTCTCCGAGCGGGGATAACGATACGTCCTCGATCAATTTTCTTCTGTCGCAAGACTGCGGCGGGTTCAACCTCGGCTCCTTCTTCATTCGACGATCCCTCTGGGCCGATCGATTGCTGGACGCCTGGTGGGACCCCGTGATGTACGAACAGAAGCATATGGAGTGGGAGCACAAGGAGCAAGATGCGCTGGAGTATCTCTACACCAACCAGCCGTGGGTCCGTAGCGGGGTGGGCTTCCTTCCGCAGCGGCAAATCAACTCCTTCCCTCCTGGCGCCTGCGGCGACGGGGGGGATTCGAAGGTCCATTATGACGAGGGAGATTTCCTGGTCAATATGGCAGGCTGTAACTTTGGCCGGGACTGCTGGGGTGAGATGTACCAGTATCGCGAGTACAGCAAACAGTTGAATCGACCACCATGGGACCGGTTCAGGGAACGGCTGAACGAGCTCCGCGACAAGCTCTTTCCTCGCATAGAAGAGGAGACGCAATGATAGGTGTTTACGATGGGTTTGTGAGGCCTGCATGATAAGAGATGAGGAGTATGGGGACTACTTGTGCATTAATGTCGACTTTGTAAATTGGCCAGGCGTTTCGGCTTCGCTTTCGGTCTTTGTATGAGTATATTATTCGATGAGGAACTCAATCAACCAGTTATATCATTCCAGTGAACTTGACACATAAAGCACTGCTCGTATATCTAGTAACTTACTCAAGTTTGCAAACCAGCTTCATAAAACACATAATGACTAATCATGAATCACAACCCGCAGATGAAAACAGCACACCAGCTCCCTCCCGCCCACCCTAGTCTTCTTGCCTGCAGTGCCAGCTTAAATGCGGATGCTCAATAACGCGGCAGTGATCGCAGACCGCCCGCCCACCCCACCCAATCACAGCCCCCCAATTGCATTTGCTCCCATCCTCTCTCAATTCCGTCCTTGGAACTTCATGAACCTCCGTCCGAACACTCCGACCCATCAATCGCCCTCCCAATCCGCAATTGAAACCCCCTCCACCACGAAACCTTTCACCGCGGAGTGCACCTTTCCTCTCCCGCCAACGAAGCTCTCCCATCCGCAACCAAACCGAAAAGAAAAACCCAACCCGATCACAATGCCCACCCCGGAATCCGCCGCCTTCCTGGCCAAGAAGCCCACCGTGGCCCCGACCTACGACGGCGTCGACTACGAGGACAACGTCGCGCTGCACAACGCCCGCGACGCCATCATCCGCGAGCAGTGGGTCCGCAGCATGATGTCGCGGCTGGTCGGCGAGGAGCTGGGCAAGTGCTATGCGCGCGAGGGCGTCAACCACCTCGAGAAGTGTGGGGTTTTGAGGGGTATGTTTTTTTATTTTTCTTTTTGCGTGTTCTTGCTGTGGTTCTTTTTGAGCGTGATTGGGGTTAGGACTGGAGGGGGTTCTGGGTGAGGTTGGATGGGATGAGGGATTGGGGTGGTTGAGTTCTGAGTACTGCGTACTGCGTACTGAGGTTGAGACTGAGGAGGATTGAGGATGGGATATTTTATTCCGAGAGGGATTGGCTGAATGCTACTCTCAGTTGCCCACTGTGTGTTTCTGTCGAGGCTTGGGACATATGCTAATATCTTTCCGCTTCGTGTCTAGAAAAATACTTCGAACTCCTCGGGGAGCGCAAGATCAAGGGTTATCTCTTCCAGGAGAAGAACCACTTCTCGCAGGAGAAGTCTGCTTGAATTGTTTGAAAGGGTGAAAGGGGGGATAGAATTGAGTGAAGGAAGTGGAGGAGGGGTTGGGGGGGCGGGGAGCTTTTCATGATCCTGGTGATGAGCATCGCAGGGGCCAGGGATGGTGTTTATACTATATCATCTTCTTTTTTTTGTGTGTCATGGTTGTACTACATGTTTTTTTTTTTCGAATAACGGTTTCCTGTTTCTTGTCTGCTTTAGCTATACTACCTACCTACCTACCTACCTACCTACCTACACGCCTCCTCACCTATGCGATGTATGTCATTGGGTTTGGGGTGGAAAATATCGATATCGGGATCTTTTCTTGCTTTGTGTTTCTGGGTCAGGCTGCGAGAGGTGATGGGGTTGGTGTATGTAGAGGAGAGAGTTTAGAGAGGGTTGGAGTAGATGGATGGTGAGGAAATGTGATCAGGACTCGATTTTGTATGAGACGAATGTTGCTACCTGGAAACAACTACTCCGCTCACCAACAGGGTATCAATAGTATGCACTATCCGTCCGCCCCGGCACGGTCCCGGGCGTCCACATCCTCGACACACCAGCAGGCTCCTCATCGCTCTCCTCGACATCGCTGCCCGGCCCAAATTCATCCTCCGCCGGCGGCGCACGCATGCGCACCAGCTGCTCCTCGTCCAGCGAGGGGATCCGGTACGCACCCGGCGGAGCGTGAATATCACGACCCGAAGGTAAATTCGCCAACAGATCCGCCGACGGCGGTATCAACTGGGTGTTAATCTGTCGTCTCAAACGTCAGCATCATTTCCCACCACTCATCCAAAGGCAGGAGCAAAACCAACCGTATTGTTCATCCGCACCCACTTGGTCTCCAACATCTCAATCACCCGACCTTCCTCGTCTCTCCCCGCATCGTCCCCAGGCCCGAGCTCCTTCTTATCACCACTACCACCCTGCGACCCAGCATCCTTCTCCATCTTCTTCTCCTCGAGTTTCTCCTTGAATCCCTGCTTGAACCTGGAGAACTTACTACCCCCCTTCGACCCAGCCTCCTTCTCCGCCTCCGTCTTCGCGCCACCGCCGCGGCTTCTCACCCCCAGCGCCCCCTTGGCCGCCTGCAACCACGCAATCGCCTCCCCGATCTTCCCCGCCAACTCCGCATCGACCCCGAAGAACCGACACGCGCGGGCGCGCGCCACCCGCCCCAGCACCCGCGTGTACCCCAGCAGCTCCTCCTCAATGGCCCCGGTCTTCCCGGTCCTACCTACGACGGACCCCAGCCCCGCCGCCGCTTGCTCCGCGTACTCGGCGGCCCGGATACACAGGCGGGCGAACAGGTGCGCGCGCACCTTCGGGATCTCCGGCGCCCGCACCATCCAATCCTTGTCCCGGGGATTGCGCGCCTGGATGCAGGCGAAGACGTAGGAGTCGTCCTTCAGGACGGCGAGGAGGGTGGCTTCGGCGAGGGCGAGGGCGGAGAGCGCGGTTTGGGTGCCTGGGTCAAGGTCGGGGAGGGAGGGGGTCGTTGTTGCGGTAGACGTGGTGGTAGGGGCTGCGTGCGGGGATGTCATCGATGTCGACGCAGCAATGGCGCGGGCGGCGGTCGCGAAGGCAGGAGATGAGGCGAGGAGATTGTGGATGGCGCTGGCTTGCAGGAGGTATCGGGTGGCCGTTTGGACGGCGGCGGTGCGTTGGTCCGGCGTCGGGGTCGTCGCCGCGTACAGCGTCCGCATCAGCCCCGTGTGCGCCAGCAGGCTGAGCACATAGCCCAGCGTCGTGAGCACGTAGGCGATCTCGAAGTCAAGGCCCTCCCCGCGGATTCGGTGGCCGCTGCCGCTGAGGAATCTGCTGCCGCCCCCGCCCCCGCTGCTGGGTGAAAAGGCGGATGGGGAGGTAGGGAGGTTTTTGAGTGATAGGGTGGTGCTGGGTGCGGTGGTGAGGGTCGGGCGCCAGAAAGTGACGATTTCGCTATGCAGGGTGATCTCGATCTCTTCGCTGGTCGCGTCGCTGGGCTTGCTACTTAGACCGCTGGAGATGGCTTCGAGATAGGGGAGGTAGGTGGTTAGGGTGGTCAGGAGGGTGGATAGGTGCGCGTCTTGTTGCGGGCCGCGGGGTAGACGCTTGTGGGCTTTGAGTGCCTGACGCAGGGCATGGCGAGCGGTGGTGGCTGCTTGCGGGAGGGATGGATGTGTGCTCGATGAGAGGAAGTTCTGGAAGGAGAGATGAGAGGTGGTCGGAAGGGTGAAGGCGTAGACCATGGTGGGTGGGCGTGTTTGGTGCGGAGAGTTGTTGTCGAGAGGAGGAGGGAAAGGTGAGGGGAGAAGCGGAGGTGGAACTACGGAGTTATCAATTAACTATCCGTTGGCGGTTGGATGAGACCACCCACCGCCGGCCAGCCAAGCATTGCCTAGAAGTTCTCATATTGTAGGTTGTAGGACAGAATCATAAGGATTCATCTTGGTGGTTGAGATGTTTCATACATTCAGCTCATCTCAAGTACGCGAGGCTCCTTGAATTGCGCCCCTAGTAAGGTAGATACATGAAACCCTCCATGTTGTCCTGCCATCCCTCAGATGCATTCTCGCAATGACATCGTCCGCTTGTTTCTCAAGTTTGCGCTGGACTCGGCTACACCGCTTATGTTGCAATTCTGGATGGCGTAGCTCCTGTGCTTTGCGTCAACGATTTAGGTCGAAGGAGGTTGTGCCCCCGGCCGGATGGCGAATGGGATGGCTTTCTGCTACTAGCAATGCCGTTCAGCTGGACCAGCCAACTGGGGGCGAATGGGCGAATTGGATCCCGAACATGGAGAAGGGGATATTCTCATACGCGAAGATTCCGCGCTTGACTTGGGGTACTGGGTCTCATGGTCGGAGGTGACCAAGGAAACCAACGGAGTCATCGTAGATAGGATGCGGCACACTTCCATCTATCCCATCACACGTCCATTCCCTCTCCATCAGACAAATTGCTCGGTGCACTGCTCACGACCGAGGAGTCGCTGTCGGCCATATAGGGTGCCCGGGATCGCATCTGGGACCCCCAATCCTGCAGGGTCGGCGCACCGCCCTCGATCACGATCGGGTGTTCCTCGCCGCTCTTCCCCAGCACGGTCCCCGCATATCGCGACTCTTCTCCCGTCTTGCTGTGTTTCTTCTTCAGGGCCGTCAGGAAGTCCTCCTTCTCCAGGGAGTCCGCGTCCACCATGTCCCCTTCACTGGGCACGAACCCAGCGATGCGCCGGATCTCGCGGTTGGCGGGGCCGGTGAACCACGACAGAAACCCTTCTAGTCCTCGCATGTCCTCTTCCGCTTGCCATTCCTCCTCCCATTCCCGCAGCTGCGGCCGCAGCGCGCCTGCGTCTTGTAAGGCCTGGTAAATATCTTCGAGCACGGGGATGGGGTCTTCGGGGTGGGCGTTGGCTGCATGGGCGCTTGTGGATGAGGCAAGGAGCATGATGTATCGGGCAGTGAGGTCGGCAAGAGTGTCTAGGACTGAAGGACGCGTCGAGTGGAAGCCTGCAGCGCGCAGGATCTGGATGATCGGAGGGCGGAGAAGAGCGTTATGTAGATTGGAGCCGGACATGGCTGGAGAATTCGATGGCAGTGAGGTGTGATAGAGGTCAGGTTAAAGTGAGGAAACCTTCTCTCTCGTGCGATTGATTGAATCAAGCTGAAGAACAAGGTAGTTGAGGCGCGCACATGAATTGGAGAAGATAAGAAGGATGGCAAGTTGAGGAGGAACAAGCGGAATTCAACCAGGCCGTGTCGCTCTTCCGCCTTTCCTTCCTCCCTCCGCCTACCAACACCACCCTTCACCATCACCACCTCTTGCCATTACACCCTTCCCCTTCTCATTTCTCATTATCTCCCTCAGAATCTCCGGGATCCGCCTTGCATTATTCAAATTTAAACAGCTGATACTCGCCACCAGTCTGGTGGAACAACTTTCGTCATGTCGGAGACCCCCCGGCCGTCTCTGAAGCTCACCTTCAACAAGAACAAGGCGAAAGCATCTGCGCCCTCGACCCCATCCCAACCTGCCCCTCCGACGCCAAAGCCGACGGAGACTCCCCAACGCAAGATCACGCTCAAGATCCCACGGAAACCATCCGTTGCCGAAGGAGCAGGAGAAGATGAAAAGCCGAAGAAGAAAAAGCCGTCCAAGAAGCGCCCAGCAGAGGGGCCCGCGGTACCAGAACCGTCCTCCGCCGCCGCCGCCGCCGTCGCGACCGCATCCGCTGCAGCAGGCCCCAAACGCCTCAAGCTGATTAACCCGGCCAAGAAACCCGGCGTGCAGTCTATCCGGATCAAGAACAAGGGGCTGGTCCCCAATCGCCCGACCGGTGTTGGCTACGATTCGGAAGCCTCCGACACGGAGATCGATCCCGCGATCGAAGAGCAGTTTATCCTACGCATGCTGCCCGGGGACGACTGTGAATATCTCCGCCGTGCCATCGCCGAGCGCCGCTTCGACCGATCGGAGTTCTCCTTCAAGCCGCTGACGCGCGAAGGCCGCCGTGCCATCTTCAAGGTCCGCGACCGCCAGTACGCCGCCGCGCTGGTGGACTTGCCGTGCATCATCGAGGGTATGAAGAGTTGGGATCGGCGCGGATGGTACAAGTCTGCGGACATCTGCCAGATGCTGCTGATCCTGGGTCCTGTGGCCAATGAACAGGAGGCTCTGGATTATCCAATACCGGACGAGGTTTCCCTGACGGATGACAAGAATCTGCAGTATCCGCATGGTCTGGCGCCGCCTCTACGGTGGGTTAGAAGGCGTCGGTTCCGTGAGCGGGTCAGCACCCGGACGATCGAACAGGTCGAGAAAGCGGTGGAGGAGATGGTCGCGCAGGACGAAGCCTCGATAGCCCCGCCTCGCTACGAGTTGGTGGACGCAGCCTCGTTGAATCGGAACGAGGGTATAGTGCAAAGTGGGGAGTATGAAGACTACGGTGACGAGTATTACGACGAAGAACAGGATGCAGAGGGCGAGATTGATGAAGGTATGGACGCTGGGGCTCTGTTTGAAGACGATTTCGAGGACGCTCTCGCAGCTGAAATGGAGGCTGCCCTGGCTGCCGGAGACGAGGGCGATGCTGCTGCTGTTGCTGCTGCTGCTGCTGCTTCCGCCGGTGCGGCCGGTGCTGCGAGCGGTCCGCACTCAGACGCTGGAGTTTACCAGGCCGGCACGCCTATGGCGACCAAACCCTCCACACCAGCAGCCGACACATCGGGCGACGAGAGTGACGGATCGGATGGTGAGGATAATGATGAGCCGGGCGACGAAATGGATGAAGAGCAGCTGGAGCAACAACGCCAGCTACAGCAGCAGCGCGAGGAAATTGATGAGCTGGAGGCTTTGATCCGTGCCGAGACAGTCAAGTGGGAGAATATGCCGAACGCCATTCTTAAGAACAAGCTGGCCAAGCGCATCAACGACCTGAAGCAGGATCTGGCATTAAAGAAGGTATCCATCGGAGAAGGAGACGATGCTGATGATTGAAATTGATGTATAATGTGATACCCTCGCGGCATCGCCTGGTCAGACAGCCGCAAAAAAAAACAAACCAAATTTCTGTCCACATTAATCATTAAAACATCTCGGACACGACAAACGAATATCAGAGAATCGTTATGTACCCTTTCCCCCCAAAAATGAGCTCTATCCACAAAAACAAAGAAGCCTCTCATGTCATTAAGCGCGAGCATTCACCCAACAACAGGATCCCCCGTGCCTCTGGCGACCGCCCCCTTGACATCCAACTCTCTATCCTGCTTTAACTTCCGCTCCCTGACGGCCTCCCTCTCCGCCAACACCCCATCATCGTCCGGCTCCGCCGGCGACTGTCCCACCCGCTCCCCTAGGACCCGCTCATGCTCCTCGGCCTTCCGGTCCATATCCGCCGCCAACCCCTTCTCATACCCTGGGCCCCCGGGCCCGCTGGCACTGCCCACCGCACCGGCATGGGCCCCGGCCTGCGCTCGCGCGCGCGCCCGGCCGGACGTGCTCTCCACCGCGTGAGCGATCTCCCCCTCCGCCGGCTGCTGCTCGACCCCGTACTCCAGATCGACCCCCGACGCAGCCCGGTGCAGGGCCTCGCGCTCCTGATCGCGGTCCGCGTTCAGCTGGCGCAGGCGCTCATCGTTGGCCGGGCGGGAGTCGGCGGTGCGCCGCGTGATGGAGGAGGTCGGGTCCCCGCGCTGTCGGGTTTCGTGGTGCTGGGGTGTGCGCTGCTCGTAGGGCGTCTGGGTCACCGGGTTGGAGGCTTGGTTGTAGCCGGCCTCTTTTGGGGGCTGGGCGGGTTGGTCGGGTTGGTGGGTGGATTGCATTGTGTTTGTATGTAGTATTTCTTTGGACTAGGGTATCGAGATTGTATCGGATTGTTTGCTCGTGTGGGTGTGGGCGTGTGTTTGCTTCGTGTAAGAGGTGTCTGGGATTGAAAACTGTGGTTTGAAAGTGGTTTGTAGTGGTCTGTAGTGCTGGGTTGTAGTGAGCTGGGTGGTAGGTTTATGAGCGATTGGGATGGGATGACGTCAGTGATGATGTCGGTTTGCGGGTGGAGGAGATGAGAGCTCACTGGTATCGGGCATTTGTGATTGGATCTCCGGGGTGGATTGGTGACTGCCCTGGAGATAATGCGCATTTGTTTCGAATTCTGCCATTATCAGTTGTTTCGTGTTTCGCTGGGATCTAACTTAGTCGCTTGAGCTGTGCGCTGGTTCAATATACTGTATTCTCGATGTGACGCCCGGATATCAGAACACCACCCACATTTTCTGCCAATATCAGACGAGTTGTGCTAGGAACCATATTCGGACCCAGAGGAGGTCCACGAAGCAGAGAAAAGCCACTATTTTATTTTTAAGATGGAGTTTTGTGGAGAGAGACCTCATACATACTCCCCTGGAATCCGGAGTTCAGGTTATATAGTATATATCTAGCTGAGCGACGAGGCGGACGTGTTATTGTGAGCGCTTGATGGATCCAGCCCAACCGGACTTTGGCTACTCTGGTATTCTGCCTGTCTCCGTGTGCATTGAGGGGCTTGAATTGTGTTGCTTAAGGCTCTCGAACTCTCGAAATTTCGGGTTGGGTTATCGATGCTGTCTTGTAGGACGGGGATTGATATTGCGGATAAGGATGTATGCTAAGTGCTCTGTCGATTTACTCGTAAGCATGAGGTGTTGGAATGGTCTTTGATGATTGCTGGAGGTTCTTTTGGGGTATGTAGCTACTGCTAATAGGCTGGGTGTTTCTGAGATGAGTTGTGGCCAGGGGGGGAGCGTGAGTATGTGGGTGGGATTCTTGGGGATTGTCCTTTGTCTCTTTTCTCTTGTGGAGATGATTACAGGTCTTCAGGATTATATTGTGGGTAGATATTAGTGGGAAGATGATGCATAGAGGGGGGCTTGTTTTGCTGAATCTGTCTAAGTATGATAGGTCCCTAACAAACTGCATTCGATGTACATACAGAATAAGTGTGGAATGTGTGTATACTGTTTCATCCTCGTGTTGGCTGTTTATAATGTGGACGGAAGTCTGGCCAAATCACATAACTTGCACTGTTTCGTTATATGGGGGCATATGTGCAAGCTCAGCTAAGCTTCAGGCGGCATGGGAGGCAGCCATAGTCCACTGCACAAGCATCAAGGCAACCGAGGGGCAACGCTTTCGTATGCTATTGTCGAATCATGCACTGCTGAATGGACTGCCGCTATACTACTATGTAATATGATAAGGAGGACATCAACTAATGGCTCTCATGCAGTTGCCACTCACTGCGGTCAGGCAGGTGTGAGTCATGTCTCCCATACCGCGCTTGATATGCTTACCTTAGCCCACACCACACCCACAGCGCAGAGCACGCAATGGAGTGCGGAGACATGAGGGAAATAGGAAGCCATTGGCCACTGCAGTAAAAGTGAAAATTCGTGGTAGCCAGCCTTGCTTGCCGTTGACTCTTGTCAGAGCGTATGCCTATTCTCTGCCGCGCATCTTCCTTCCCACACACTCTAAAATCCTTTCGTCTATTTCTCCCATTGTCAGCAGTAAACCCCCATCCTCCAAAACGTATCAACCATGTCGTCTGCCGCCGGTAAGAGAGCTCTTCTTCTCGGTGCTGGATTCGTCTGCGAGCCAGCCGTGCAAGCCCTCTCCGACGCCGGGGTCCATGTCACCGTGGCCTGCCGCACGCTCAGCGCCGCACAATCCCTCGCGGGCAACTACAGTAACACCACAGCCATCGCCCTCGACGTTGCCAACGAGCCGGCTAAGCTCGACGCCACCGTCTCCCAAGCCGACCTCATCATCTCCCTAATCCCCTACATCTACCACGCCACCGTTGTGAAAGCCGCCATCGCCCACAGCAAACCTGTCGTGACGACCAGCTTCATCTCCCCAGCGCTGAGGGAGCTCGACTCGACCGCCCGATCCGCCGGCGTGACCGTCCTCAACGAGATCGGCCTCGACCCCGGCATCGACCACCTCTACGCGGTGAAGACGATCGACGAAGTCCACCGGGCCGGGGGCAAGATCCACGCGTTCACCAGCTGGTGCGGCGCGCTGCCCGCCCCGGAGAACTCCGACAACCCCTTGGGGTATAAGTTCTCGTGGAGCCCGCGGGGTGGACTCCTGGCGCTGCTCAACTCGGCGCAGTGGTACCGCGACGGCCAGATCACCTCGGTGGAAGGCAAGGACCTGATGGCGGCCGCCACGGCGCAAGGCCTCTTCCCCGGGTTTAATTTCGTTGGATATCCCAATCGGGACTCGGCTGGTCTCCGGGGGTCCTACGCCATACCGGAGGCGCACACGGTCTTCCGGGGCACCCTGCGGTACGCGGGGTTTCCGGAGGTCATTCGGGCGCTGGTGGGGTTGGGGTACTTCTCTCAAGACAAGCTCCCGGCTCTCGCGTCGGATTTCAGTGGAAGACTGACGTGGGCGCAGTTGACGGCGCAGCTTCTGGGGCTTGCCGCGTCTGCCTCTGCTGAAGACGTGCAGGACGCTGTGGTGAGGAAGTGCTCGCTCATCCTCGCGGAGAAGGGCGAGAATAAGGAGGAGATCGATCGTGTGCTGTCAAGCCTTCGGTGGCTGGGACTCTTCGATGGGACCCGGCTGGTGGACGGACGTGACACGCCTCTGGATACGCTGTGTGCCGTGTTGGAGCGGCAGATGGCGTATCAGCCCGGCGAGCGGGATATGATTGTGCTGCAGCATCTCTTTGAGATCGAGAACGCGGATGGGTCGCGAGAGAGGCGCACCAGCACGCTGGTGGAGTACGGTGAGCCGGTTGGGCCTGGGTCGCGCAGCGCCATGGCCAAGTTGGTGGGGTTGCCCTGCGCGGTGGGCGTGTTGGCGGTGCTGGAGGGCCGGATTCAGGAGAAGGGCATGGTGGCGCCGTGGACGAATGCCCGGATTGCGGAGACGCTGCGTGAGGAGTTGAAGGCGCGCTTCCAGATTGAGTTGAAGGAGAACATAGTGGGTTGAGTGCATGTGTAGGAGGAAGCAAGTAGATGGATGAAGCTTCGCAGCATGTGATGCCGCGGACATGAGTATGATTACATTATCAGTTTCTCCCTCCGCTCTCCTCGGCCGAAATAAACTAACTACATAGTTCTCCCCACATTTTACCATATCGTATAAGATCATACCAATCCACAAGTATAGCATAGACACATTCCCCTAGACTCACATCATTTGTTCATTATATCAAATCAACATGTCTACACCCAACCCAACACCGCCGCCCCTCTTCACCGTCCCCATCACCTCCACCAACGGCACCTTCACCTGCACGAACCCGTCCGCGGCGGAACAAGACCACAACATCTACATCCTCACCTTCACCTCCCCGCCAGACAACCGCCTGACGCCCACCTTCATCGACGCCTTCCTGCTGGCCCTCGACATCATCGAGCACCGCTACCCCAAGGGCGTCGTGATCACCACCAGCGGCATCCCGAAATTCTACAGCAACGGTCTCGACCTCGAACTCGCGCAGTCCACCGAGGGCTTCGTCGAGAAATGGTTATGGAAGTTATTCCGGCGCTTACTTACGTAGGTCTTCACCTCCCCCCCCCCTTTTTGATTAAATGTATAACGAAACCCAACCGGCAAAAAGCTACCCAATGCCAACCCTCGCCCTCGTGAACGGCCACGCCTTCGCCGGCGGCCTCATGCTGGCCATGTACCACGACTACCGGATCCAGAACCCCAGCAAGGGGTACCTGTGCATCAACGAGCTGGAGTTCGGGGTGCCGCTGCAGTCGCCCATGATGAGCGTCTTCCGCGAGAAGCTGTCGGCGACCGCGTTCCGCGACCTCGTGCTCGAGGCCCGGCGCTTCGGCGGGCCCGCCGCCTCCCGCGAGGCCGGCCTGGTCGACGCGTACGGCGGGCTGCCGGAGGCGGTGCAGCTTGTGCGCGATCGCGGCCTGCAGAACAAGGCGGCCACCGGCATCTATGGGATGATGAAGGAGGAGATGTGGCGGCAGTCGCTGGGGATTCTGGATGCGCATGCGGAGATGGTGGCGTGGCGGGATCGCGTGGAGGAGCGGAAGGCGGAGGAGGAGGGGGCCGCGAGGGGGAGGGTCGAGGCTTGGGAGAGTGAGGTTAAGGCTAAGCTTTGATTTTCTTTTGCTTTCTGCTGGGGGTTGAGGGATGGGAGCTGGGGGAGGGGGATGGGTACTAAGAGGTATTAGGTGAGGGTGAGGGTGAGGTTGAAGATCTGGTGGGTTATGTGGACGTTGGTTGTGGTGTTTCTTGGACATATGCTAAACACTTGGTTGTTCTCCGCTAGATGCGGTGGATTATAGGTCTCCATCACTTAGACATGATGAATAAAGCTGTATACATGTACAGTATTCTTGGGCTCAATTGCTCATTCTTCCGAGTTCATGTTCGGTCACTTTCATCGTGGCTATTTGCTGGCTCCTCGCTGCACTTTGACACTTCTCTCTGGGGCTGGGGCTATATCTACATTTCCAGATGACATGATACGAAGAGTAAGGAGATGCCGGAGACAGCTATCAGAAGAGAGCTATCTATAAGTCTACTTAGAGAGTAAAATCATCTTACCTCATCTTTAGAAGTCTTATAAATTAGATACTGCTGAGATTAGATCTAATAAAACTAATATACTTTCAACAGATCTTATCCAATATTATAAGTTTAGATGCATAATCACGTACAATAGTATCTGTATTTAGAGGTATAGATTTTCTTAATATTTAAGATCTTATAAAAGATTACTTAAGATACTGAATTAGGACTATTTAATCAAATAATCTATATTCTTAGAATAACTTTTAATAATATATAGCAGCTTTCTGCCTACTAGCACGCAGTATACCCACATACTCCTTCAGCAGGTATCCAGCGCTTCCGGATTTACAATGACCATCATGACCCAGCACGGGCTTTTACATCAATGCTCCAGTACCTTAGGAGTTGTAGAACCCGTCAAGAGAGTGAGAGAGAAATTGGGAGAAGGTGTAATCAGCATGATCCACTTTGAACCTCATCCCCCCTCTCATTTCATCTACGCTTCATCTCATCTCATCTCATCTCTACTCCAATTCATCTTGTCATCTCCTCTGATTCTCAGGGAACGATCTACTCCTCCATTCAGGCGTATCAAGAACTCAACCAGACTAAGCTAGTTTACCCCATATCCTAAATTCCAAAATGGGGAGAAAGAAACGCAAGGCCACTCAATTGCCACCCTCCAGTCCGGTACCTCCACCTTACCCTCGATCTCACCCTAGCGCGAGAGAGCCTGACACCTCCACCTCCACCACTGCCCACGACCGATCCAAGCGCTGTGAGAACGACAGCTTCTACACCTTTCAAAAGTCCCAGCTGGCGTGGGCCAGGTTCTGGGCGGAGAAAGCCGCGAAGCTTGCGTCCCCGTTCGCGACGCTGGACGATGAGGACGACGCAGTACATGTGAAGGTTGATCAGGTGGGATTGAAGATACATATTGGGGTATGGAAATGAAGAAGACACATGACGGAATTCTTGAGTTTGCACGCTCTGCTGACATTGAACCCCCAAAATTAGAGCAAGAAGGTATCTGAACAGATGGTCCCGCGATACGATGGTAGCGATTCGAACCCGCCTCTGTCGCGTGAGGCTGTCGCCGATATTGTCATGCAGACGCGGGCCGATTGTCCCAAAGCGCAGGCCTGGCTGAGCGCACATGCATGCGGATATGAGCAGGTTGGTCCGGGAAAACGAAAGCTTGGGATCATTGAACAGGAGCATAGGAGGAAGGCGACTGTAGAGAGTCTGCGGTATCGGACGATGATTGCATTGAAAGCATCGGAGGCGTCCAAGGACGAGGTGCGCGAAGTGATGGCCATGCTACCCCCGGTGCAGCTCAAGACGACCCCGGCGATCACCACTGAGGCTGAGATGGAGGCACAAGTTGAACGGGTTGAGAAGGCCCATGAGAGGCTTCAGAAGACACTTGCGGAGTTGAAGGATTTCAAGTGTGCTTGATTGGTTGTGATGTCGCTGGGAAAATTCCACATGTCATGTACTGTACACGCGGACGTCTCCTGCAGGTGTGGTAGTATTCTCTTTTTGTGGTTGCTGCACGCTTCTGTGATCTTAGCCATTGATATGAATGCTAATGTTGTCACCGTCTAGTCGATTTACCGAACAGATTTTGATTTAGAGAATGAGGCTTGATCAGGACTTCTTGCTCTTGGCTCCAGTCCCCTTGGCCTTGCTCGAGCTGTCTAGCTTATCCGTCAACGGTCGATACGGTGAAGCCAGGAGATACTCTGGGGCCCGCTGGACGCTTTCATCCCTTCGCGGCTCCCCCGCGGATGGCCGGCGCCGCTGTTCCTCGTGCATCTTATCTAACGATTCGCCCACGATATGATACTTGGCCCAGTTGATCGGAGGCATCCGAACCACGTTTTGGGGAGGGGGAATCGTTCCAAAACCAGATGCCTTCCCTTCCTTCGAATCATCCTCCATCTCATCATCCTCATCTTCATCCTCGTCCCCATGCATAGTGTCATGGCTGAAGTTGATAAACCCGCCCTTATCCTTCGCCGTGAGATTCCCCGCAGCCAGTTCGCGCGCAAAGCCTTCCGGGTCCGCCGCCGCCGCTCGTTTCATTTCATCCAATGTCCGGATATCTCGCAGGCTCTGCTGCTTCTGGAGCTGCAAGATCGAGATAGCAGACCGTAGTGCAATCGCATCGGGATTCTCGCTTTCGGAGATGGGCACTGGAGCGGGTTCCGCAGCGAAGAAGGGTGCTGCACGCGGGGCCTGCGGGGGAGGAGCAAAGTCCGGCGTGAAGCCGTTGTAGGGCGGCGCTGCCGTTGTGGGAGAGGGCGATGCGGCGGGAGGGACGATGGGGTGCGATACCCCGTTTGCCGCGGAGGGAGGGATGACAGGTGCGAGATGCGCAAAGGTCGGTGTCACAGGAGAATACGGTGGGCGCGGCGGAGTCCCTGGCCGATCGGGCGAACTTTCTTGAGATTCTTGTACAGGCTGCATACCCTGTGTTGCTCCCCGTGCGGTGTTTCTTTGACCGGAGAATTTTTGAGGGGGCGAAACTGAAGGCCGGGATCGATCCCTCTATCAAGAGGATTGCTGGATCGATGGACTGCTGGCCGCGATCGGCGCTCAATGACGTCTGCGTTGTGCTCACTGAGGGGTCCGTGTTAGGGAGTGGAAGAACGAGGCGAGCCGTTTGTCTGTCAGCAGAGGATGGTTTCAGGTTATCAGGATAATATTTGTTTGGGCGACTGTGGTACTGTAGCAGAGGTGGAAAGTGGTAGGCAGAAGGCAGAAGGCAGAAGATGGAAGTGATGGCAGTGATGATGGGGCAGATGGGTTGGATGGAGATGATAGGCGGCTTATCGCCAGGGGGATTCATTATCGGGCAGTGCGGAGCAATCGAAGCTTCCAGCCGCCAACTCAGGAACCGGAGCCACCATCTAGTTACTTCAATTTTCTAAGAAGAGGACGTACTTCATAGACAATGTATCAATTTAATTGCTAGGGTTAGTAGGGTTCACAATTCTATACTCTATTGACCATCTCCATCACCATGCAGAAGAAAGTAGAGACCGCCCTGTGCTGTAGATGGTTGCATGGCCTGATTGATGGGATGGATGGAATGGGTGGGCTGACTGAATCGAAGCTGCAAAATCCTCACCGCCAAGCTAAAATTCAGCAAAAAAGATCCCCGGCCCTCCGCTGTCGCGACTCGATTTCCCTTCCCAGGCTTCTGCTTCCCCTCCTCTCATATCTTCCCAGTCAAAATCACTGAAAATGAAGCGTAAGACAGACAGCAGCTCGAGCAAGGGTCAGCCGGAGACGAAAAAGCGCGCTTTGTCCAGTGAGGAAGCCGCTGCGCGTTTCCGCGACGGTCTGTTCGACCCTTCGGAGCAACAGAAGTATACCGAGCAGTATGCTCAATCTGCTCCGTATGTCCACCCCACCCGATCACCAACCCGTCTATCATCCAGATGTTATACTCAAACAAAAGGCTGACTATTGCTCAAGTTACAAGCATGGAGTCATTTCCCCTTTGATCGAGCCCTCCCTCTTACGGGCAGTCCGCGACGAAATCCAGGCCCAAGTCGACTTCACTGAGAAGGAGACCGATATCTACAAGATCTTCCAGTCGGGCGATCTGGCCAACTTGGACGGGCTTGATGATGAGTCCCTGTCGAAGCTCCCTTCGATCCTGAAGTTGCGCGATGCTATGTACTCTGCTCGGTTCCGCGAATACCTCTCCGCCGTGACCGGATCCGGAAAGCTCAGCGGTCGCAAGACCGACATGGCCATCAACGTCTACAACGAAGGCTGCCACCTGTTGTGCCACGACGACGTCATTGGCAGCAGACGAGTATCCTATATCCTCTACCTGACCGACCCGGACACCCCATGGCAAGAGGAATGGGGTGGTGCATTGCGCCTGTACCCCACCACCACGAAAAAGGATGTCAACGGCGACGACGTCAAGATCCCTAGTCCTGACTTCAGCCTGAGCATCCCCCCTGCCTTCAACCAGCTGAGCTTTTTCACCGTCCAGCCCGGCGAGAGTTTCCACGACGTCGAGGAAGTGTACCACCCCAAGGAGAACGAAGACAAGTCCAAGAAGCGGGTGCGCATGGCGATCAGCGGATGGTTCCACATCCCGCAGGAGGGCGAAGATGGATACGAGGCCGGTTTGGAGGAGAAGCTCGCCGAGCGCAGCAGTCTGGCCCAGCTCCAGGGACGAGGCGACATCTACGATCTCCCTCAGCCCAAGCCGGTCGTCTGCGAGGAAGCGGACGGACAGGCTGATGAGGGCAAGGGAAAGGGCAAGGCGAAGGTGGAGGAGGAACCCAGCGCCGAGTTCACGGAGTCAGACTTGAACTTCCTGATTCAATACATCCGCCCCTCCTACCTGACTCCGGACATCGCCGAGGAAATGTCCGAGACCTTCGGCAACGAATCCTCCCTCAACCTCGACCAGTTCTTGTCCGACAAATTCTCCGCTCGGGTGCGTACATACATCGAGGAGCAGGAGAAGCAATCTCTGCCTAACTCCTCGGACGAGATCCTCGCCCAGACCGGGTGGACCGTTGCCCGGCCCCCCCACAAGCAACGCTACATGTTTCAGCAGCACGGAACCGCCACGGAGGATCAGAAGACTCCACTCCAGGAGCTCCTCAACGACCTCTTCCCGTCCCGGGCGTTCCGCAAGTGGCTGGCCCTGATCACCGGCGCGGCTCGCGTCTCCAGCTACGACTTCATGGCGCGCCGCTTCCGCCGGGGCCAGGATTACACCCTTGCCAGCGGCTATACCGGCGAGGAGCCCCGCCTGGAATTCACTCTGTGCCTGACGCCCACACCCGGCTGGGAGCCCGAGGGCGCCGACGAGGAGGATGAAGAGGAGGAGGCTAACGGCGAGTCCGAGGAGTCCAAGCCCCAGTCCAAGCCCGAGTCCAAGGACGATGCCAAGTCCGCCGACGAGCCCGCAGTGGGTGGATACGAGATTTACATGGCCGTTGATGACGAGGACGAGGGCGATGCGGCGATCTATCGGTCCGCCGCCGGCGACGAAGACGACAGCATTCTCTTCAGCACAGCGGCCAACTGGAACCGCCTCAGCATTGTCCTGCGCGACAGCGGCACGCTCAAGTTTGTTAAGTACGTCAGTGCCGCTGCTAAGGGTGACCGATGGGATATTACTGGTGATTTGGGGGTAGAGTTTGATGATAACGACGAGGATGACGAGGAAGAGGATGATGATGAAGTTGATCCTGATGACATGGAGGAGGATGAGGCGGAAGATGAAGGAGAGGATGAGGAGTAAACTCTTCTTTCATTCTCCACACGAAAGATTCACCTGTATATATACAACACTTGGGAGCCATATTCAGACCAGGATACTAAAAATAGATCTTGTCAACTACTACCTACATGAACAGCTACGATGCACCTGCATATGCCATATGACTACCGCGCATATCGAGGATATTTATGCAGCAGCAGCAGCGGCAACCAAGTCACTGAACAAACAATTGCATGACAAACTCTCCTTTTTCCACGTTCAACTCACGCAGACGGTTGGCCGTCCGGTAGGAATATCTGCAGGCCTTCTCCTATCACACGAACACCCCCAAGCAAGAGCCCCATCTCCCGATCGAAGGATCAACCGAACCCAGGTTCCAGTTGGTTTAGCTTAGCTCCAGCCTCCAGGGCAATACAACCCCTCCCCACACCTCCAATTCCAACCAGGCGTCTCCGGAAGTCAGCCTTATACGGGTATACCGAAGAGCGAAACAGGCAACAGCCTCGCCTCAAAGATAGATGGATACCAACTCTGCCACATCTTCCTTGGATCGGGGGTAGGTCTACTCCGTCGCCGTCGCCGTCCCCGAACACAGTCTCCACCTCCACTTCTACTAGTATTCCAGTCAGGGGAGTCCGAAAGGCAAGGCAGGATAAGTCAGGGCAGGGCAGGGCAGGGCAGGGCACAGGGCGAGCAAGGCTGATTTTGTCTGGTTCATTTTCTCGACTCTCATCCAAATTAGTAGCTCAGCGGAGCTTGTCCTTCTTAGGTGAATGGACTCATTAGCAGCAACAGCGATCTAGAGGCTATGCGAAGAGGCTGCAGGACGGCGGCTTAGTTTTTCTGGATGCAGGTGTTCGCGTGAGGCTGATATCTTTGCCACTTTTACTCCGTACACTCGGCATGCAAAGGGTTTTGTTCGCTGTGATAGCGGTGTTTGCGAGACCGGACCTCTCCTTCTGGACAATCTCCTTTCATCAGCAGTATCGGGTAGTTGATAGCTGGTTTATAGTCTATGGGGATGTGGTAGTCCCTGGATTGGACCTTCATACAAGTAATAGGCAAAAGAAAAGGCACGTTAGAAAAGCTTGTGGCTATACTCCGTTCCCTCTTGGCCCCCTTCTTATCTGCCAGGCACAGACAGTAAAGTAGCTTGCCTGCTAACTCATCTCCTGGACTACCCATCCAAAGCCCGCACTTCTAGACCTCACACCCAGCTCCAAGCATCCAGAAAAGCCCCTTACCCTTACTCCTCAACAAACTGCAGCACAAAAAAACCAAGCTCTCGCAGTTTCAAGTCCAAAAATCCCAAACACCATCCCCCCCCCCCCCTTCCAATTGGCCACTTGTCAGCTAACCAACAACACCAATCAACCTTAACCCAAACCCCTTTGTAAATACTCTAACAAACCTACAAACCAACCTTTCCAGGAGAAAGTATGTAGTGCGTTGCGGAAGGTAAGGAAGCCTTATCCACGTGGCAACCAACTCTTTTTCTACCAGCCACACTCGGACTTTCGGAGCTCATCGCTTCTTCCGTCCGTTCTTCCGACGGAGAAAAGGTCCGATAGGTTTAGGTCCTGTATCGCATGGGTTGGTCTGAGCTTTTTTGTTTTTCCCGCCGATCTTGACTAAAGTAAATTTCTGCCAATGTAGCATCGGAGTCGGAGTGAGGGGAGGGATGGGAAGGATGGAAGGATGGATGGATGGAATGGAAGAGGGGCATCGCCGGCGCCGCCCCCCTCTTCCTCACCTTCGTGTAAGTCAGAGCTAATTGCCGCGGGCATTATGAGGATTTTCCCATCTGGTCTGTACTGTACCAGGTAGTATATGGATATTGGACGAGATTACGGAGTACTAAGTTAACAACAGTATGAGAAAGCGGGGGAAGGGCATTGACTGCTAGCACTAAGGCGTTACTACACTATGAGTGCTAAATGTCTCCGTGCAGGAGATAGGTACCGGTAAAGTTCGGACAATTATGTGTCAGCCGCCCTCTCTCTTTTTCTTTTTCTTTTACTTCTTTTTGCCTCCTTTTTTTGCTATGTTGCAATGGCGCGCATGGGGAGGATTATCCGCCATGGGGGCTTTGGGTTTTGGACCGGGATTTGCTTGCTTTGTTCTCGCTTGGCTTGCTTACATCTTGCAGGAGTTGTTTGTTTATACAACTGATTCATCGGGGGTTGTCCGAGAGTGAGGCACTGGTGTCGTTCTCGTGGGTGTTTTTGATAGAACTTATAATAATCTCTATGGGTCGGGCCCATGGACGACCGCCGACCGGACTACCGGACTAAGGTTGCAGCTGCACGAAGGAAAAAGTGGTCCCTGAAAGATAGTGATGGCGGCCGGATTCTTCAC